CTTCGCCTCCCCTCTCCTCTCCCACCCTTCCACCCCTCTCATCCTCTCTCCTCTCCCACCCCTCGCCTTCCTCTCCTCTCCTACCCACCACCCTTCGCCTGCCTTTCTCCTCTCCCACCCTCCCACCCCTCGCCTCCTCTCTCCTCTCCCACCCTCCACCCCTCGCCTCCTCTCTCCTCTCCCACCCTCCCACCCCTCGCCTCCTCTCTCCTCTCCCATCTCTAGCCTCCCCTTTCCTTCTCCCACCCTCTCATCCTCGCCTCCCCTCCCTCTCCCACCCTTTCCACCCCTCTCCTCCTCTCTCCTCTCCCACCCCTCGCCTTCCCTCTCCTCTCCTACCCTCCCACCCTTCGCCTGCCTTCTCCTCTCCCACCCTCCACCCACCCTCCACCCCTCCCCCTCCCTCCTCTCCCACCCTCCCACCCCTCGCCTCCTCTCTCCTCTCCCACCCTCCACCCTCGCCTCCTCTCTCCTCCATCTCTAGCCTCCTTTCTTCTCCACCCTCTCATCCCTCGCCTCGCCTCCCCTCTCCTCTCCACCCTCCCACCTCTCCGCCTTCCTCTCTCCTCGCCCCCCTTTCACCCCTCACCTCCCTCTCCTCTCCCACCCTCCCACCCCTCGCCTCCTCTCCTCTCCTACCCTCCACCCTTCGCCTGCCTTCTCCTCTCCCACCCTTCCACCTCTCCTCCTCTCTCCTCTCCACCCTCCCCCTCTCCTCTCCCACCCCTCGCCCTCGCCTCCTCTCTCTCCCACCTCCGCTCCTCCTCTCCACCCTCCCCCTCGCCTCCTCTCCCTCTCCCATCTCTAACCCTCATCCCCTCGCCTCGCCTCCCCTCTCCTCTCCCACCCTCCCACCTCTCGCCTCCTCTCTCCTCGCCCACCCTTTCACCCTCACCTCCCCTCTCCTCTCCACCCTCCCACCCCTCGCCTCCCTTCCTCTCCTACCCTCCCACCCTTCGCCTCCTTCTCCTCTCCCACCCTTACCCCTCTCCTCCTCTCTCCTCACCCCTCGCCTCACCCTTCACCCCTCTCCTCCTCTCTCCCTCCATCCCTCGCCTCCTTCTCCTCTCCCCCCCCCTCCCCCCTCGCCCTCTTCACGGTGACAAGAGCTATATTCCTCGTGTGAGATAAGGAGGAAACATGAGGTGAACGTGTCGTGAGATGTACTACAGTCAGTGTGTTTTCTTTTCCTGATCTGATAGCTAATCGGAAAATTTCGATTTCAATGATAAAGTGTTTGGTCACTTTATTTATTCACTTCTTCGTTTCGTTATGATGATGATAGTGGTAATAATAGTAGTAGTAGCAGTAATAATAAAAATGATGATGACTTTAACAATCATGGTAGTAATAATTCCTGTTATTATCATCATTAACATTACCGTTATCACCTTTACCAATATCATTGATACTGTTAATACCATAACCATTATCATCATTATTATTAACTTAAATAAGTAAATTTGTTCCACTATCATTTCCTTATTACATTTTGAAATGCTTGTTTACACACTCACACGCACACACACATATATATTACATATAATTGTTGCTACTTGTGTTCTTATTGGGCAACGTGTTCATACCCATTTGTTCACAGTCCAAGTTGCAGGTTTTCGGTCCTTAAATGTACAGTATGTGTCCTGTACACTAGAGTTATATTTACAAATCTAAAATAATTTTCCAGGTAGACAAAAAGTTCTGTCTCAATGAACAACAAAATAAAAAAAACTTTTGTGTCAAATGAACGACTATGTTCAAGATGCGAGGAGACTTCAGGGCTTGCGCTTGTCTTAAAAGGGAATGGACTCGATAGGTCACATTTGACGTCATCAATGGGATATCTTATCTTCTCTATCTGTCATTCTCTCTTTCTTCTTTTACACGTCTGTCTGTTGGAGTCTCTCTCTCTCTCTCTACCTCCCTCTCCCCCTCTATTTCTCTCTCTTTCTTTTCTTGTCTTTAGTGTCTTTATCTGTCTGCCTGTCTGTATGTCTGCCTGCCTGTCTTCATCTCTCTCTCTCTCTCTCCCGCTCTCCTCTCCTCTCTCTCCGTAGCAAAATTGACAATACTAATTGTATCGCATCTCTTTATCAATGTTCTCAACTCGAAAGAAAGAGAAGAAGAAAAAACGACTGAGATACAACCAAACGATAACAGATCACCTCAGCAACGGACCCAGGTATCCGGATGGCTGAGGGAAAAGTTGTATAAAGTGTTCAAATCTCCTACACACACAAAGCGGCTAATGGAAGGGGTCTTGGCCTGTTTATTTCTATTTTATTTTATTTATTTTTTATAGAAGGTAGATGTGAAACCCCCAAGAGACCCCCCCCCCCTGTCCGGGCGTCGAGGGCAAAGTGGTGGAGAGATAGAATGTTGCGTCTTTGTCTGTCGTCGCTGTCTCTCCTCTGACGAAACGTCTCCTTTGTGCGGCGGCTCCTTCGGGGGGGGCTTGTATACACACACACAAACACACGCACGCATATATATATATATATATATATATATATATATATATATATATATATATATATATATATATATATATATATATATATATAATATATATATATATATATATAATATATATATATATATATATATATATATATATATATATATATATATATATATATATATATATATATATATATATATATATATATATATATATATATATATATATATGTGTGTGTGTGTGTGTGTGTGTGTGTGTGTGTGTGTGTGTGTGTGTGTGTGTATGTCAAAACCGTTGATTTGACATTACAATCTGAAGAATTTTCGACGGGCTTCTAGAAGCAGAGAACAGTTGTGATGCGGCCACATCTATTGAGCGCTATTTTGAGTAGAGTAAAATGTTCGTGCCCAGTAAATTGTAGACAGATTGTTGGGTTTTCCCGACAATAATACTGGACTTGGTACGCGGAAGGAGGCAGTCCTCCTTGAAACGCCATCACCCCAGGTACGGCAGAAGAGAACGTCTTGTCGAGGGTGGATTGAACGCTAGAAATGTGGTCATAGGGGGATGTTAACATGTGCAATAATGGGGGAGAATACCCATATATGTCCTGTGTACCTGAGTCCTCTTTGAAACGCCATCAAGCCCAAGGAGAACGAGCTGGAGAAGACACTGGAGCCAGCCGGTTGGGGACGCGACCCGTGGCAGAAACAGAGAGAGAGAGAGAGAGAGAGAGAGAGAGAGAGAGAGAGAGAGAGAGAGAGAGAGAGAGAGAGAGAGAGAGAGAGAGAGAGAGAGAGAGAGAGAGAGAGAGAGAGAGAGAGAGAGAGAGAGAGAGAGAGAGAGAGAGAGAGAGAGAGAGAGAGAGAGAGAGAGAGAGAGAGAGAGAGAAGAGAGAGAGAGAGAGAGAGAGAGAGAGAGAGAGGAGAGAGAGAGAGAGAGAGAGAGAGAGAGAGAGAGAGAGCCCCGACGATGTCCGAGGAAAGAAACGCATGCCTCTTCCCCCTGGAATCGTTGGAGTGAGGATCTGATCGGAGAGGATAGGCCCTGTGATGCCAGGTGTCAGGACTGTGGTGTGTATGTTATTAATTTCGCGAGTTAATAACCTGTCGGAGAAGGTCCTTCCCCCCCCCCCAGTCCAGCAAAGTGGTATTCATTTTCATTATCGCTGTTTATTATCAGTGAATATAATTTAGTTACTATGTGTTGTTCCTCTCTCTCTTTCTTATTATCAGTGAATCTAATTTAGTTACTATGTGTTGTTCCTCTCTCTGTTTCTCTCACTCTTTTTCGCTCGCTCTTTCTTTCTCTCTCTCTTTCTCTCCCTCATCCTCTCTCTCTTAAGTGTTATGACTTTGACACTCTCTTCCTTTCTTTCTTTCTCTCTCTCTCTCTCTCTCTCTCTCTCTCTCTCTCTCTCTCTCTCTCTCTCTCCTCTCTCCTCCCTCCTCCCTCCTTCCTCCTTCCTCCTCCCTCCTCCCTCCTTACCTCTCCCTCTCTCTCTACCTCTACCTCTCTTTATTCAGTCATTAATATTTCTTTATATCTATTCTCCGCATATTTTCACTTTCCCCTGCCTACATTTATAAAATGCGTTACAATGAACACGTAGCAACAGCAATACAATTACCCAAATATATCAAGTAATTACATGAAAGGCATTTTGACTCTTTGATACTGCACTTCGCTGCTCGTGCGGTATCGGTGTCTTTGAGAACTGTCCGAATGCAATCATATGATAAATACTCGATTTGTAAAGACCTACACTCAAAGTAATATTCACGGATAATCTAAAAATATACTTCCTTTGAGTTTTACTTTATATAGGGTATATACAACATGTGAGACTTTTCGTTTTCATGAAAGTAATAAGCAGTATATAAACGGATTCTTTTCGGGACGCAGTGTTTACGACTGGAAAAAGTGCAGATTTACATGGTATTTTTATTTTGTTTGAGCTTGTAAATTGTTTTTCCGTTGAAGTATTATTGAAAAGAGATATGAAAGTTGTGAGTAAAGTAAGCACCGATGACTGTTGCCTGTTTAATTCGTTTCCTGCACTTATTAAAAATAATTTATTTTGACTGGCATTGACCTAACGCTCAGTGAAGGGCCCTGGGGATGAAATGCTGTCACGCATGCGCAGAAGCAAGGGGGCTGAGCTTATTCTCGACCAGGTGATGGGCTCTGCCTCGATAAACGATGACATCATGAGCCCGTAACGTCCAGCATCAAACCCTGGAAGCGACAACACTTCCAGGGTATTACCCCGGACGTCCCGGGTTAAATGACAAAGGAGATGACAGCTGGTTTTGTTGCAGGCCTCTTGTGATGAATTATGCAAATCAATCCAAAGTCAACAGTCGACATAGTGATTAATGTTACAACCTGTCAGTTTTCAAACATCGTCAAAGGAATATAATTGATACAATATCGTACCTTGTCAGTTTGTGCTTCTTAGCGAGTATAATTTTTATGTGAAACAAAATAGATATTTCTTTTCGGATATAGTCATGATAAAGTGTCAGGTTATATTGGT